TGGCGCTTCTCTGTCTTGGTTCCTTGATACTATCATCATTGGGTGGTGTTACTCTTGTTTTTGAACCATTCATTTAAGTTTTGGGAATGAAATGGTTCAGAAAGGTATTTTTGGTATGGTACTGAAATTATAAAAACGCCCCTAATAAAGTGCACTTTATTTTAATTTAAGTTTTGGGAATGAAATAGTTCAGAAAGTTATTTTGGATAGGGTACTAAAATTATAAAAACAGCCTTAATAAAGTGCACTTTATTTTAGTTCATTAGTAATGTTTGAGTAATTTTAGTACTTAGACTCTATTATCTTTATTCAGTCTGTATTAATAAACCGTGAATTTGGCTGTTTTGTACTGCAATCAGCTGTCATATCATGTTGCTAAGTTAGTGGGAAGAAATGGAATTCAATTCATACTTGAACCCTTCCTATTCAGGAGATATACCCCCAGACGTGCCCCTATCCAACCATCCGCGTTGGAAGGGCAGATGGTGCGGCCTGCATTCCGTGGCTGGTACTGCTGGTTTCGGATCTCAAACCTACCTACCCCTCCCCTTGAGACCAATAAAATATTTAAGCATCATCTGAATTTGAATGTGCAAGAATTATGTGTTCGAGTTCGAGGGGCCCATAATGGGTTTTCAAGTCCCAATTTGCAGCCACCCATAGCTTCTCTTCCTATCCATCTCACTTGAAATTGAATCACACAGAGCTGGACTGCTGAAGGTCCAATAAAGACATGTCCAAAAACATGTTCAATAATAATAACAATAATAACAATAACAAAAACAAAATTGTACTCCTTGTAGGATAAATATACTTATTTTCTTATGGGATGTGGCCAACGCTTGGTATTTTCTAGGAACAAAACAATTTATTGGAAACTACAGTGAAGCATATATAATGACAGACAATAAATGGAATCCAAGACATTGGTAATGACTTATGTAATAAAAGAAGCCTAATTGTTCCCCATGTGCAGTGAGTTTGGGGCTGTGGAGAAGGTCTATTTGTCTTTGTCATCATAAAAAATCAATACCGATCGGTAAACGGTCAAGAAATCATCATATGGCAACATTTTCAGAGGAGAGAACACTATTTCAATAATAAGCACCCAACACTACTTGACTCACAATGATTAAGATTCAACCTCATTTCTAAAACAACATTACAAGCTAATTATGTGTTGGAAGACCCTATAAAAAAAAACCAGTATTATTGATCTAGCTGAAAAGGAAATCCCTCCATATTTAAGAAGTATAGGGTAAATTGGGTGTACTTAATTTGTTATAACGACTGTTTTTTGCTAAACTCTGTAGTTAGCTAGGAAAGTAAAAGTGATTCCGAACCAATGATAAACGTCCCAATTCGCCAAGGGAGAGTTTTCTCAAGTGGTCAAGTCGGTAAATTTCTCCCCCTATTAGCTTCATCTTGAATATTCTTTCTTGTTTTATTATTCTTTTTCATGCTCATCAAAAAAAGAGAAGGGGAAAAAAAAACCATCCCTCCTTTCCCTTTTGCCCACTTATTTGCGTAATTGCTTTACCAAGCAACTAAAGTTCCTTTGTTTTCTTGGCAGCAAGTGATTTTGCTCTTCCTTTTGTAAATGCCTTCGGAAATTTGCTTTTCCTTTCTCTCTTCTTTATGGGTATCCTAAAAAGCTCCTTCCTCCTAAAGCACCAGCCCATGCACTCAAAAAATTCCTAAGATGCTATTAGTAAAAGAAGAAGGTGATTGCAGAACTCAAGATCCCTTGACCAAACTTCAAAACCTCTGTAGTAAATTTCATCTCAGGAAGTTCTTTTTTCCTTCCCTTTCGGTAATGGCAATGGTCCACATAGCATGCACGAATTATCTCCAAAACGGGGCCTGTGCCTTCCTAGTTCCTTCCGATTGGATTATTTTTCTTTTCCTAGGTGTTTAATCCAAGAACTTTTTTGGTATGCCGGGAAGAAATAAAGTTTTGTCCTGGATTTTGCTGACTGGGTGTCTCTCAATTATGATATAAGGTGTTTAATCCACTAAACAGTTTGTAACAAAATATCAAGGGACTCTCTTATTTACCCAAAATAATAATAATAATAATAAATTTCAAGGGACACTCAATGGTAGAAATTAATAGAATACCAAACATGCTCTAAAATCTTAAACTAATATTAAGACTATGTTTGATACAGATAGTGAGAAGTCCTTTTGAACTCTAAAAGCTCTAACGGTATCAAACACTACAATTTATGAAAAATATTACATTTTTTTATAAGTTAGCATTTTGTCAATTTTATTACAAATCTCAGAAGCATTGAATTGATGTTTTTGCAGAACCTTCTCATATAGGTTTTAATGAAATTAATACATTATTTTTATTTTATCTTTATTTTTCTTTTTCTTTACAAAAACAACACTTCAACAACAAATTTTTTCTAATAAAACTTTTATTAAAAACTCCAACCACACCAAACGAGTACTAATAAAGAGATGATGCAACAGTACAAGTTAAGATTTCTAAATTAGATGTCTCAATTTCAAAATGAATTTGAGAGTTTGGACGAAGGTGAGAGCTCATCAATAGGCAAATTAATTTAATTACGCACAAGAAATGGGCTATGGGCCGGGATTCTGAAAATATTAACATATAACTCAGGACAACAAAACAAAAGTTTAAGTTAATGTGACAACTTATGGGTTTTTTTTTTTAGACGGTTAGGATATTTTTGTGCTATAATTTGCATGTATTTTGAGATTAATAATTTTTTTTAGACGATCATAGGGATGATCATGGGTTTAGTTTAAGAGTATCGTGTTATGCTAGGCTGGGCTATGATGGTAGGTCTTTTTATTTTCGTTAAATGCCAAATTTAGTTCTTAAACTTTTAATTTTGAATAAATTTTGTTCCTCAACTCCTTTCACACTTTTTTTTTTATTCCATAAATTGATTCATTAATCTGTCTAAATATGTATATTGTAGCCTTTAAACTTTTAATATATATGCATTTTTAGTACTTGAAATATGAGTTTAAAGACTAAAAATGTGTATATATGGATAAACTTAATGGATTAATTGATAAAATGATTAAAAAATTATATTTTTTTTATAATTTAAGACCAAAAAGGTGTAAAAAATAATTGAGAGACTAAGCATGTTCAAAATTAAAAGTTCAAAAACTAAAATTGACATTTAACCTTTTATCTTTTACAATATTAGAATATATAAATATTAATTAAATTTAAAGATTAGTGTTATTAGTTTCAGATTTACAAAAAAACTTAAGTAAAAAAACACTCAACACTATATTGTTTCAATAAAATATAAAAAAGACTAAAATTTAAATCTTTTAATCTTTTCTAATGAAAATTAATTAAAATGATGTAGTTTAGTCTAATTTTTTGCATGTACAGCTAATAAATATTTTAAAAAAAATTAATTAAAAATAATAAATTTACATTTTTAGGCAATGTACTTTATGAAAATTGTCTTCGAGAAGCATTCTCCAACAAAGTTTTAGGAGTACACTCCTTACATTGATTTAGTGTACAGTGTACTCTTATATTGACCTAATGCCTAATGTTAATTCAAGACTTAAATCTTAAACTTAATTCACAAAATGTTATTTATTTATCAATAAATTTAATCCTTTGTATTCTTATGATATCAAATTTAATCAACAATAATATAAACTACTTGTAAATAATAATAATATAAAGTACTGAAAGGGGCATAAATTAATCTGAATTTAGGGAGACCAACAATTTGGTTTGAACAGAAGGCAACGTCATGACCTTAATTTGGTCAGGGACCTGCCTAGCATGGATAAATTCTTGATAAAACTAATGTGTTAGGTGGGGTGTCTTCAGAGTCAATAAATTTATCTTTAACTACCATTTCAGAGTCAAAAAAACTATCTCTGCTACTGTGCTATACCTCCTGCTAGACATATTAATGTTAATATACAAAGGATCAGACATTATTTAACTTAATTTAAAGGCTCCAATATTAATTATATTTTTTTATAGTATTAAATTTTTTGAGTCACTTAATAAATGAATTTAATATCTTAATAATAATTAAAATTTAAATTATAAAATTCTCATACTATAATTTCCTATCTCTCTATCACAAATTGTATCTATTTAAATATATATATATATATATATATATATAACCTTCTTTATAACCTTTCTAGTTCAGTCCTAACACGTATAGCTACCTACGTTTCTCAAGTTTTATTTTGCCTAATTTTTTTACATCGTTATTTAAAAAAAAATAGAACCTAAAATTATTTCAAACTGGATGTTATTAAAAATTTTATATTATTAAAATTCTGCGGTATCATTTTAGTTTTGGATTTTTGTTTTTTCAATTTGCAGCCAATATTATATCAGAAACTATATGCAGCCTAAGAGTTGGAATTATACTTCAATATGTATCGAAAATTACCCAAACTTATTTTAAGTACTATTTTATTTCACTTTGAAAAATTCAACACAATTAATAGCACTACTATTTAGCCCGAGAGAAAATGGATATTCAAGTCAAATATTGGCTGAAAAAAAGAAAAAAAAAATGACAAGGAAAGTTTGAAGATGCCCAAAAGATGAGGGAAGAAAAGGGGAAAAAAACAATCTTTCCCTTCCATGCAGCATGCTAGTGTCTTGTGACTTTTTTTAAAATCTTACAACTTTTGTGAGGTGAAAATCACTTTCAATACTGCTTTTGGTTTTATTTATAGATTTGAAAGTCCAAAAGCATGAAGTATGAAGTCATTAAAATTTGAAAAAATAGGTTACAAAATTTGATGTGGGACCAAGAGGGTTTTATATAATTATTTATTTAAAAAGTTATTGAACAGTTCCATTTACATAAGTAAAATCATTGGATGGAAAACAGGCCTCTTGATATTAAAGGAGTCCTTTTTTTTAGTTAACAATTTTTGTTTTACAATCTAATATAGTTTAAATTATAAAAAAATATTTGATTAATTAATTTATTAGTGACTGAATCTTTAAGATAGGCTTTATTTAAAAAAACATGAATAATTGCATACACAAAGTGGGGAACCCACAAACAATGATTTTGTGTTTTGAGGAGGCAAAAAGTATCTAAAAGGATTGAATTTTACCCAATTTTTTCCTTGGCTTGATTAGGACTTGCTTAGTTTAATTGTAAAGAAAAAGAGAAAATATAAGTGAGAGTCACTTTCGAAAAAATGGGATAGTGATGGTGGGTCATAGCATAAATGGGTGCCTCATGATTAAACCTAATTTACAATGTACTCACTCAAAATATGGATCCCCTGTTCTTTTCATTCTTTTAACAATGTCGTTGGTCAGGTGTATCTGAATTCTGAAGGAATTCAAAGATGGCACATCATTGTATCTCCTACCT